AAAATTGGAATTTCGACCAAATTTGGGCAAATTTCAAAAACTTCCAATATGAAAATTCCGTGTTCCTGCCTGCCTTACCCTAACCGCTAGTACGTGTCCATGATGTCAGCAAAGAACTGTTCGTAGATTTTCTGCGGCCCTAGCATTTACAGTTTAAGCATGTGATAAAGTAGTACAATTGGATATGCAATTATGTGAATGATTTTTGATAATTCATTTAAAAAAAGACACTAACGCTAGTTTATTATGACTTCTGCAAATATCAATCAACAAATTTTTGTTAAATTTGAACAATACGACTTCGATAAAGATGAAGATTTTCAGGTAAATCATTGTTGATAAATGCAAATTGTTTTACAATGAGAATTTATAATCTAACGTAGTAGTCTAATTAAGGCCGGACTTCCGTCAGTTCTTGCATCGCATCAAAATAAATCACAGGAAGAACTAGATAAACTTAAAGAGAAAGCCAAATGGTTTTATTTTTCAAAGTAATAAACATTTTTAAATGTTTTTGATAGAATTATTTTAGAGAAATGAACAAAGAAATCTCGATTCACCTAATCCAAAATTTTTTATTAGAATTGTTCAAAAGTTTGATTATAACGAATATCTAGCATGGAAGTCAAAGAAACCACCCACATCCGAGTCATCCGAGTCATCCGAGTTATCCGAGAACCAAAACACGCCAAGACAAGATGTTACGAAAAATGGTAAGTCTAAACTGACGTTTAAAAGCTTTCATTTACTTTTTTTTTAAAAAAATCACATCCGAATGAATAGAAACACCGCAATATTCGAGAACTTTTCAACAGTTGGTAGAAATGATACGCTCAAATCAGCCAATACCAGGTATAATAAATATCCAGTCTTTAACAACCTTTATAATATTTGTAATATTTGTAATATTTGTACAAATCAACCATTCTTTTCAATTTCATCTATTTCTAAAATAATAGGAATTAAAGACATACCCGATGAGATAAATCGTGGCACCCCCTCTACTTCGACAACAAAACCACGGCCCAAGCCATGGGAAAAACGAAAGGAAAATAACTCAGAAACCATATAAATAATGTATGTTTAATTATAATCTACGTAAATATAAATTAGGAAATCGGGTGATAATGTATCAAATTTTTTTGACCAATAAAAACTTATATATTTTTTTATATATATGAAAATTTTAATTAACGTTAAATATAATTCTCGACACCATGTCATTAAACAATAATGTTGAAAAAAAAAATACGGATGATCTTTCAAATAGCCATACTAATAACAATAACTTTAACCTCTTAGAAATATTTAATTTTCAATTTGAAAGCAAGGAACAGATTGATAGTTTAAAAGAATCGAAAAAACTTGACGGTGATGCATCGAATAAAAGTCATGTCCAAACTGATGAAGTATCCATCAAACAAACTTGTATACTAAAAAACGATTACGATGGATGGTTTCATACATCAATATCAACAAATAAATTACTTACGCAAAAGCTTGGACCAAATCGATTAAAGCAATCAATTGAATATTATTATTTTCATAAAAATTATAAAGAAGCATTAAGATTATCTCTTGAGTACATTGACTTTGTTGAAAGTTGCAACAATAAAGAAAATAACGAATTAAATCCAAATAGATTAACTAGTACGCGTGATATGTTGGAAATCGCGGCTCGTAGTGCTTTAAGATTGGGAGATATCGAGCTTGCGGTAAAATGTGTCGACAAACTGGTAAGTGTGAACTTTTTTAAAAAAATATTAATGCTTATAATAAATAATCTTGACAATTACATCCATTAGTCATCTAATGAACCTGGACACATGAGTTTTAAAGGAATGATTTATGCTAAAGGGGGCCGTTTTTCAGGTGAATAATTTAAATTTAGTTGGTCATCGCTATTTGAATATTTATTGAATTTTGGTTTATACTATTCAGATTCCATAAAATGCTATATAAAATATGATCAAATGCGTAGGAATGATTATAATACGTGGAAGGAAATAGGAAACACGCTACTTTCTTGTTATTTTCAAAAAATTTTATCACAATCGTCAAATTTTCAAAGTTATTCGCCTACAATCACAAATACGTTTATTACACAAATAGCACTTTTAGCGTTTCACCGATCTCTTAAAATAATGATAACCTCAAAGTGGAAAACTTCTATTCCTTTTGTAAATTCACGTTATATCCGAGAAAAAAACCAAATCGAAGAATCGATAAAACGATTGGAACATATAGATGCACAAAAAGCCTTTTCATGGCTAGAAAGGCACGGAGAAGGTGAAACCTTTGGGTTAAATGTGGATATCATTAGATGGATATTAACGGAATGTAAGACCAATGTTAGTGAAGTCGTGGAGATGGATAAGGAACGATCAGTGGATCAATTGTAATTCTGGAATAATAAATAAATTATAACTCTTAAACAGTTGGAATAGAAGCGATGAATGATTGATTTATGATTCATGAATTTTGAAAAAAAAAGTTTTGAGAAATGAATTCACGGAACTAATAACTATTAATTCGTTGACTATTTGTAATGGATGAAATTCAGTAAAATTCTTAGTTATTTTTCATGCTCTTTAAGTTATGATATAGATAAATGTTCAGTAGTACAGTATTTCTACACTTCAACTTTAGAGACAAGCAATTCAATGGCTGGATAAGGTCTTGTGGCGATCATTTGTCTTTTTCTAACTTCAAACCCTTCAATCATTTTAAATTTAAAATTTCTAATGTATATTGCTAACATAATTTTAAATTCTACAAGGGCCAGTTTATTTCCTATACAAGATCTAGAACCCGTTATAAATGGCATATATGTATAGTTATTAATTTTTGAAGTTAAATTTGAAATCAACCATCTTTCTGGTACGAAGTTGTCGGCATTTGATCCCCAGATTGTAGGAAGTTTGTGAATTGCCGCTATTGGTATTATGATTGGAGTATTCTGTAATAATAAAGTATTATTTTGATCGGTAAAAATTTTTAATTTAAAGAAAACTCATTATTTTGATACCTTTGGAATCAAGTATTCTTGTAGGATATCGTCTTTTGCAGGGGTACGGATAATGATTGGAACTTTTGGAGACAATTATTCATGTTAATTTAAATTTTTTTTTAATTAAAATTTTATAAAATTTTAAAAATATTGATATAATGTTTATTAACTACCTGGTGGAATAATTCTCATGGATTCTTTAATAACACATTCTAAATATTCCAAAGAATTAATTTCGTCAAATGTCGGCTCAAAATTGGGATCAGGAAATGCTTCGATTAATTCTTTACGAAGACGATCTTGAATTTCAGGATGTTGTGCGAGTAAATATAATGACCAGGAAGCCGCAGAACTTGTGGTTTCATGTCCCGCCGTTAGGAATGTCATAATCTAATTGTTATTTTATTATTATTATTATTATTATTTTTTTTTTTTTTTTTTTTTTTTTTAGAGAAAAAATATATATTTATATTTATATTTATTTATTTAATAAAGATATTAATAAATTATTATTATTTTAGTATATCGCTTCTTACTTGATGCTTCAATTCCGTATCAGACATTTTTTCCACTTCAGGTAAATTTTCATTAATACTAACTAGTAATGATAACAAATCTTTGCCAATCGGTTTTCCTTCTCTAAAAAATTCACGCCTTTCTTTTACCAATTTTAAAGCGGCTTTTTCAATAATTTTAATACATCTGCGTATTTCACGGTTTCTTGGTAATGGGAGTTTCCTAATCCATGGAATGTAATGTACTAATACTGAAAGTGCCACATTCAAGGCTGTTCTTTTGTGATGAAAAATCCGTGTATAAGCATTCGCTAGTTCATTTTCTGATGTGACATTGTTGAATTCATCTTTAAATCCTAAACATTATCAAATTATAAATATCTATTCAAAATTAAATGTGTGAATACAATCTTTGATTGACATACCAACCAATCTAATAATGTCCAAAGTTACTTTTGATAAAAATGATGAAATTATTAGCCGCTTTTCTTCTTCATCGTCAATTTGATTTTTCCATATTTCTTTTGATTGGTGCGCAACACGAGCAATTGTTGGCACCATTTCCTATGAATTTATGTGGGCTGAACGTTTAATTACAGTGTCTCATTATAAAGCAATAATAGATTATTACCTTAACATTTGTAAAAGTAAATGCAGGATTCATCATTTTTCTCTGTCGTTTATGTGTATCACCTTCGGACATTAATATTCCATCTCCCAATATTGCTTTAAGATCAGTGATCATATAAGAAGGTTTTGGAAAGTCATATGTGTTGTTAACTAAAATTTTTTGTAAAATTTGAGGATCCGTAACCGAAATTATCGGCCTATTCACAATGCCATGATAACAAACAATACCACCATATTTCATTGCCCAGTCAAACTGTGGCTCAGCAGGCTACGAAGGAAGTGTGTTTGAGCATTTGATCTTTAAAATACAAAAAATAATTGTCATATCATATGGTTTTATTACTTTTAGTAAGTACAAACCTCCTCATTTACCAATCTTATAACATTTCCCAAGAGAAAATGATCGATTGGTGGTCCGGGTATTTTACATGTAGGAGATAAATATAATGGATACCAATAGAATCTATACATGATGACTCCTACAAAACAGACAACAACGTATCCGACCCAGTTATCGATCATTTCTTTAAAATATTATATAAATGTTTAACGTTAAAAAAAATTGTTCTTGAATTTTTTTAAATGATTTAATAAAAACTAGTTTATTACAAGTAAGTACACAACTTATGCCAATTTGGTTTTTAACGTAACTATAAATTGTTTATCATTGTCTAACCAAGTTTTCATAGTTTTAAAACTTGATATATATATAGTTTTGTTTCTTGTATATATCAATATATTGTGCTTGCTTATAACTTAAATAAAAATTGTCTCCAACAAAAAAACTCGTTAGCGTTAGTCTCATATATAAATAAAATCTATAGTTTATTTAAAAGGTTTATATAAATTTAAGCATATAATTTATTTTTAAAAGGTTTACTGTATATATATTAAATATATACCGTAGTTTATTTTTAAGTTATATATATATATAATTTAAATTCCGATATTAGATTTAACCTTTGCAATCCCATCTACATATTAATTAAATGTCAAAAACAATGCATAAAATAAAGCGGAAAAAAACATCGTATAAAGTGTGATACATCACTTTGGAATTCCTGTTAATCTATAAGTCACTTTGGAATCATAATTTGACGTATATTATATAATGATCGGTATGTTGTCAACGATTATAATACTGAATAAAAAAATACAGTACAATTAAAAAAAAAATAGGTAAAAAAAATATTTTAATATTTATTCCAGCACTACATAGTTGATAAAATAGTTTACAATGAAATTAAGCAAACTCAAGTTACAATAGTTGAATTCTATGGTGACAATAAACCGCCAGTAATCCAAGTTCATATTAATGTTAATAATTCACTGGTTAAAAAATCATATTTTAACTAAATAATAACTAGTTATTTCTAGTACAAATAATAACTTAATTATTATATAATTACTAGGTAATATATGTATTTAAGCATATTAACTAAAAATATATTAAACTACAAGAATATTTAGTAATTATATAGTAAATAAGTTATTATTTGTACTAGAAATCACTGGTTATTATTTAGTTAAAATATATGTGTTTTTAAACAGTGATTGTTGCATTCATTCCGCGAATATGGATAATATAATTAAATTCACCATCTGGAGCCATTGTTATACTTATCATATCCACATTTAAAATATATAATGATAATATTTGTAATTAAAAACCTTAAACAAATTATATATTATGATTATAATCTTTTGTTTTAAAATTTAATTTGTTAATTATTTTAATTTTTATAACTATAAATATATAAAGATCCCAAAATTTAAAATTTGGATTTATTAGATTTGAGTCAATATAGTCAATATTTTTAATTATAAATAAAAGTTTTATAAATTATTACAAGATTATAATATATAAATCTAACTAATTTGAGTCAATTTAAATTCTAATCTTAATCCTAACCCAAATAATTTTAAAATTATTTAAATTAGTTCAAAATAGTTAATTTATATACTGTATATTATAATTATACTAGGAATCAGGAACTGATATAAGTTTGAAGTATTATCATATTTGATAATATCTTTGACTGCACCGGTAATCAATTGTTGTTTTCAAAATAGTTTTATAATCACGCATCACATGGAGGAATAGACAAAAAATTTTGAAGTTATGTTATTGATATATTAATTATAATAATTATGTAAATGCATCAAAAGGAAATGTTTAATGGTTGAAACACATCAAAAATGTAACTTTTGTATTACTTAATGCATAAAAATTGAGTGTTTGTCACTATGCTCCAGACAATAATAATTATATATATTTATCTATACTAAAGATTAGCCAAAATGAGATATAGCAACTTAATAAAGTAGTTGAATATTTTATAAAATAGGTAGCCAAACTCTGCAAACTCTGAATTTTGCTATTAAAAAATTAATAATTACTAATTATTAGCAAAGCTTATTTTTTATATTGTCTACCTATTTTATAAAATATTTAAATAGTCAAATAGAAACTAAGAAACATATATTTTTATTAGTTTATTACTTTTTTCTAAGAAATTTTTATAAAAAGTAAGCATTTTAATTTATTTTTTCAAAAGAATGATATTATATACAGTTGAACCTTCCTAAATACAACTTTTCTAAATGCATATACTGTATATGAAAAACCTTCTTAAATACATATTTTTTCTTAAGCACAACTAATATAATACTTATAGATTTTACCTTTCTAAATATATAGCCTCTTTAAATATATATTTTTTTAATTTTTTACTATAGTTTCAATGCTATACATTTAGAGATTTCTGACTGTATATCAAAACAGACAGTATTATTTACTTTCTAAATTAATATACCAGAATAACAAACACATTAAGAGATGTATCTTGAATGTAATAATTTAATCAAACAATACTCTGAGACTATTATCAAATATAAACTTTCTATATTGCTTTAGTTGATAAAGTTGTTTTATTAATTTTTAATATTTATATGACTATTTAGATTAATTTAAAGTAAAAACTAGTTTATTAATAGTATATAATTTTTAAAAACCTTTTACAGATTTATAAATATAATATTAAAATAAACAAATTTCTTTTTTCTTTTGTTTTTAATATTTCTTTACCTCTTTCTTTTCTTGTTTGTATATTTTATTGTGATCTTCTCTACTTCTGTTTTTTTTTTATTTTTGTATATTTTTTATTTGTTTTTTTTAACAAAACAGATAGCTGCTATAGCTTATAATCAGAAAAACCTAATCTTTAGTGAATTGAAGATTTAATATAAAGCTAATTGCTACTAAATAAATTATATCTAAACTTTAATATCAAGTGAGTATTTATTAGCATAAAACTATAGTATAAAAAATTATATTTGATCTGTTAAAATTAATTTTTTAGTACTTCTAATAAAATAATAAAGAAAGAACTACTAAATTAAAAAATATATATAGCTATAGACTACTATAGCTATTTAAAATAAACTTTTTTTTTGTTAATTAAAGGTAAAGTAAGCTAAAAATAGTAAATAAATAAAAAAATGTGTTTTATAATAAAATTTAACAAAAATTTTTTTTATTAGAATCCAAAAAGTTGGTTTATATACTTAATTTTAAGTTATAACTGATTTTTATAATTTTAACAAAATGAATAGTTGTTTTAAAATTTTTTAATTATATTATATTATATCTGATCTTTAAATTTAATTAGTTTTTATAAAATGCATAAAAATAATAATACCTATTACAATAAAAGTAAGGAAACAAATTTAACAATAATTCTATTTACTTTAATAAAGAGGTCAAGATTTGATTTACTTAGAAAAATTTGACTTTGCTATATAGCAGCTTTATTAATTATAGAGGTAGCTTATTTTCGGGTCTTATGTTTTTTGCCCAAAAAAGAAAAGTAGATTATTTTCGGAGTCACTTATTTTCGAAAATATACGGTATATCGTATTGATCATACTTCTCAGTTAACGTTAGACGTGATGCTATAAAGTCTATAAACCACTTCGTATTACTAGTCTATTTACTGGCAGTACGTACCTGTTTCTAGGATAAAAAATAATCCATTAAATAAATTATAGAAATAAACTTCTGAAAATACTAAGTTTAATAGATTATAAGTTATATTTATGCTTGCTGGCTAAATTGAACCGCCTACCTCTCATCTAATTTCCGAATTACCTCACCGATTACCAACTTACTTTGGCAGAATTCGTATTCGTGGCACAAATTTATTCTTGTGACAGAAAACCGTTACTTTAAGACTTTATTATGATAAGATGATCTGTCAAAATCAGCCAATCATAATAAAGCTCGCTATTAAATCACGTAAACTGGGAGGTGTCCGGAGACTTTTCCGATCCTATGCCCTGTTAACGGGATTTTGTTTATCTGGTCAAGATTTTGAATTTTTAACATGCCACTTATCACGTGATCACGCGTTACGCTAGTGTGAAATTGTTACAGGAAATGATATGAGACTATACTTCCCAACTCTGATCTAATCATAACCCTAATAGTAAAGTTTCATTTATTTTATGTTCTACTTGACAATATTGAGACGATACGAAGTAATTTTCAATAATTAATTGAGTATAGTATAAGATGTGATTAGCTAGTTGCTTTTTCTAATTGCTTAATGATTTATAATAATAAGACCATTTCGGCCTTTTCTTTTTACAATAGATTTATTGAGTTTAATTCTTAACCAGACGCTTGAGCAAAAACACCTACATCCATTCCCGCCTTCATTCGTCGTTGCTTTTCATTGCGCGCTTTGTCCTTGAGTTGAATTTGAGTGCGATTTCTCAAAGGACCACTAGACGACCCATGTTTTTCTAATATTTGAACCCAATGCGTCCCATATTCTCTCATACCATCTTCCAACGCCTGTAATTCTTCATTGGACCACTTTTTACGAAGTCGACGATTGTGATTACGAATAGAATTGATCAACGGCCTATCCGGATGCGCAAGGTTTTGTTTATGTCGGTGATTTTCATCAGCGTTTGGCGAACCACAATCAGCAATATTTACATCTCTGATAGTCAATGAATTACATTGACCAATACTTTTACCCACGTTGACATTTTGTGGTTCATCTTCGGCAGTTATAGTATGATTTGGCAGTTCATTCCGTGTATTCTCTTCATCAAGATCACCAATTGACAAATTTACTTGATCAATTCCTAAAATTTGATGAACCACTTGGATCAAGTCCTGAAGACGAACTTACTTCTTTTCATCTGTGATTTAAACTTATTGATTCCTGC